GGGGCCCCAAACCAGTATACACAACCACTCCCACCCCCCGACCCGACCCGTGGCATTTAGGCGCCACAGATGTCAGACATGATGCCTCGGAACCAGTCCGCCTGCGCTTTCGGATCGGACGAGACCCGTTCTTCTTCTTCCTCTGGCGGTGATCCGATAATGTAGTCACATCCTCCGCCATCCTCCATCCTGACACTTGGTCTATGATCGAGGGAGTCGCCGACGTTAGGTCGACGATTGACTGACGCAGGTGCTGTCGGAACCCCGGTTCACAATGCCGAGGTTCATTCCAGCCACCCACTTAATGAGTGTATCTCCTCTTACTTTGTCCCGTTACATTGTTACGATCTCCCTACTATGTGAAGCGGGCGTTGAAATCGCCTAAGACAAGTACCGGACGGGACAGGAAAGTTCAAATACAACTCCTGAGTCCGTCCAAGTACGTCTCGAATACGGGGAGGCCGCATTTCGAATATATGTAGCAGCCTACAATGACCATGGGGCTCCACTCTACTGACTCAAATCAAAGCCTTCTCTGAAGAAGGGTGCAGTGGAGGCCATTCTCCACCCCTGACCAGTATATAGCAGCGGTGCCGACCCAAAACATCGCGGGTGATCTGAGACCAGAGGCGGATTAAGAGCGCCCTAGGCAAGCATTTCATCGGCGCCCTCTACATCTCTCTATCGCCCATACTATATTATTAATAGCGACTAGTTGACGTTACTAAATGTGTGATACTCCAATTTCACCCCCAGGCCTGCACCTATGCAGAACGGAGGTCCTTCAGCGACAATGCCTGGCCCGTTCCCGGGCCTTGGAGACCGGGAGGGTCCAAGCGTCTTCAGATCCCGCTCCGCCCTCAGGATCCCGACCCAGTACGCGCCCCAGATGTGAGTGCCTTCGAGGACCATGAAAGAACAAGGCCTCAGATTCATCATCAAGATCAGATCAGATGCAGAGACACCTCAAGACCCAGCTGCCTAATGCTTACGGTACGCCTTACTGCACGTCGTCACGAGCGTGTCGACCGCGTAGCATGTGATGGCGACTCCGTCCAAGAAGGCACCGCGAAGCACCCAGTCGTAGCTGATGTTCCACTATAGCGGCTCTAACACTGACCCATGCGGAACACAATACGACATGTCACACCAGCCGAGACCGGTCCTTCTTGGGTAGATGACGGTTCCGAATCTCTCCTAGCGCCTGCCCTTCCGAATCGCGGGCACCGTCCAGGAGACGTCCGCAACACGAGGAAGTCACTTCAGTCACCGATAGGCCTTCGTGACGATTGAAAGGGAAAATCCATTCACCACAAACCACGCTCAGGGCGCCATGAGGCGCTGAAAGGCGAGCATCGGTAGGCGGCGAATTAGATCCGAGTGGAGATCTTCTTCTCAACCCCCTTCCGCTGTTGCTACCAGTCATACGGCTAGTTACGGTTAAACCCTCTTCGACGACTGCAATGAGCGCCCGATGCTACGATGACCAGACGAAAAGACACGATCCCATGCTGCCATACTGCCCACTCGACGATGTCAGGCTGGAACACCTCCACGGTGCGACCACGACCTACGAGTCTCTCTAAATCCCATGGGAAAGAAAGAAACGCCACCGCCCTCTGAGGGCGCTAGAGGCGCGTCTTATTCTGGGCGGTCAGCCTCAATCTTTGTAGGTATCAGAAAAAGTAGGCAAAGAAGTAGTGGCAATTACGACTACGTAATTGCCACTACTTCTTTGCCTTTCTTTTATAATAATATGAACATTAGATGTAAACCCTAACCATCTTTATAGAATTAAAGGATCGTTTATATTGTGGAAGTTTAAGCGTATTTACTGACATATTTCTACCGCGACCAAGGTCTAGGTCTCGGCGTTTTTGCGGTGCATGCACATGCACCACGAAAACGCCGAGGTGCCGAGGTGCCACGTGACCTGTGCCACTACACGCGTAGCACCGCGCGCCATGGTCTGTCTCGTTGGGGCATATGTGACTTACTTACTTGTTACTTTTTAAATAATGAGAAAATAATTATCATTAATGACTAAAAAAGCAAAAGTAAATTATAGTTTAAAAACTTTTTTTTAGTTTTTTTAACTATAATTTGGATATTATTATAAAGAATAAGTAATCCAAGTTTGATATTATAAATGGTTCCATGCTCAAAATTTGCTTAGAAAGGTGTATACAAAATCTTATTCGAGTTTTAGTATACATATAAACATATTATATATTAATAATTCCGAAAACTACTCAACGCTATGAGGACAAAGCTTGCCATTGTAAACAACACCTTTTATCATTATAATCTCATCTCGTATTTATTTTTTGATTTACGTTTATCGTGATGTTTGCACAATATATCATGTAACTAATAAAACCATATATTACGGATACAGATTTTGGTATAATCAGTTGCATTCTAGAAAAAAACATTAAATATAAGGATTCTTTTTTAATTCTGTTTTGCCTTCGTTTGAGTGTCAAATAAAGTGAATTTTACTAGAAAAATAACGTTTTGTTGTTAAGTTTAAACAAAAATCATTGTTATATAATAAAAAAATATTTGTTTAAAAACAACACAACAATTTTATAAATTTTCGTGAGTATTAAGGTATTAATTATCTTTTCATCAAATAAAAACTCAACAATATTTTGTAATTTCATGCTGTAAAATGCGTATGTTGAAAGCAAATTTAATCAGCTAGGCTAGCCTTTTCTTTGGTACCTTTGCTATTATAAAATGTATCTGAGAACTCTTATCATAAGAAATGTTTTTGTTGTATTCGAGATAATATCCTTTCTCCTCCTTTCTAAGGAGAGGCCTATGTCCAGCAGTGGACTATTAAAGGCTGATGATGTGATGTGATGTGAGATAATATACTAAGTTGTTTTATCTAAACAAATTAGTAAATAGTACAATTTTCAAAACCTAGCAAAAGCGAAAAGTCACGATCGGTAGACGGTATCAAAAGACTGTTTAGTGACGTTGTTTATGTACTGTTTAATAACGGGTCTACCAATAGGGATGACCTGGTTTTGACAGCTCATAGTGGTCATGTTTGAAGATGGATCTTTGACGTCTCTTGACATTTGTGTTCAGTAAGGTTTGCCATTTTATTATGTCACGTTTCACTTTGAAATTGTCCAAAACTTCTTTGAAAGTGACGAAGGAAACCCTGTTACTGTGAATGGCGAGCGCTATAATTTGATGTTAACCGAATATTTCTTTCCGGAATTTGATGATATTAATGCAGACGACCTTTATTTTTAACAAGACGGTGCACCACCTCACATTACTCGAGTGAACATGGAATTATTGCGTGGAAAGTTTGGTTAGTCGTTCAATTCGTGACCTAAAAACCAACATTCGACGAGCCATAGCCGACATACCGGCCGAAATGGTGCACCGCGTCATCGAAAATTGGCGTGAGCGGGTGACCGTCTGCAAAAAGAGCCGCGGCGGTCATTTGGCCGATATATTATTTAAAACATAAATTGCATAAAATTATCTATCAAATAAATCAATCGTATGCATTTTTCATAAAAAATTGTGTGGTTTATTTAATTATTAAACCAGGACGTTCTTATTGGTAGACCCCATATTTGCATTTGTTTTCCCCATACGCTGTAATAACTATCGATAGTAAATATGATTACTACAACAGACTTTGTCTAAATTTGGTATATTTTGTGTTTCATTTAATTGCTTATATTCAATAATGATAAAAGTGTTATTTGTCTGATCAAAAATAATTTATTTATTAAATATACCTGAACTGCTTTTTAACTTTTGTAGGATTTCTCACACCTTTGTTATATGTTAATATTTGTAAATAATGTATTTCTCATTTCGTTCGTTTCTTTCTAACTTTGAAAATGACGAACTGCCATACAAATTTTCATACATTATTTTACCCTTTTAGAAATGAAATTTCCAAAAAATATTTTTAATAGGTTCTTACAACAGCATCAGATGCTAGAATTTCAAGTTTGTAACGTTAGCGATTTAGGTCCTGCGTTGATGAATCAGTCCGTCAGGGCAAGTAATTTTGTATGTATAGATAATGATAAAACTCCAATACCACTAAAATAGTCGATAAATAGTTGATATGCTAAATACTCAATTCTACAATTGTATTAGCCAATTGATGCATCTCTTAAATAATTTTCGAATTTATTTTTCAGTAGCAACAATGAGCCAGCCAGCAGGTCCTCCGCCTTACGACGCGACATATTCACAAGGAGTTAAAACAGATCCAGTGGAAAGCCAACCTCAGCCACAGGATTTGTATGTAATAACATCACGGATGCACTTGGTTGAGGATGATGAACTCATATTCACGGAAAAACCAGCTATTGTCAAATGTCCAACTTGCAAGGCAATAATCAAAACTCGGCATGTGGTGAAGCCTGCGATGAGAACTCATATGTGTGCTTTAATTTTATGTTGTTGTGGGTAAGTATGTATTATTTTACATCACACCAACAACAACGTCAACCACCAAGTTGTTGACTCTCCTCATATCCATTAGATTGTCTAAAGTGCACTACAGAATCAACGGGCCTTAATTTATTTTTCAAAGTAAAGATTTTAAAGTCATAAATTCACTATTTGATTAAGTTTTAAAACAACAATAGTACTTTATAGTAGGGATGCTTTTCTACTGGCAGGGTAAGGCTAAAAATGGATAGGTTGAAACAGAATAGAAAATAAGTATACCGGTCTATGTATATCAATTGTATATTTTATTTATTTACAGATTGTGGCCGTGTTTCGCGATTCCTTATTGCATGCCGTCCTGCAATAACGTAGAACATTTCTGTCCTACCTGCAAATCACATTTGGGTACCTACAACGGTTAAAACTTTATAATACGATGTTAACATACGAGACCTTCTTGGGTATTAAGGTTTCTATTCTACATTTTTGAATTAGTGAACTACTATCTGAACTCTTAAATAACTTTATTATATCATTCTTTTGAAATTTTTGAAAAAGTGTTTATTTTTAAAGTTGTTTTATTTAATTTGGCCTATTTTCCTTAATTTTTCGTAGATATGAATAATATCCTGGAAAGATCTATAATATCCTGTTACCTCTAAATCTATACTACATCAAAAGTATCGTCAAAGATCTTTCCATGCAAGATAATTAACATAAGTAACATCCAGAAAGCTCAACAAGACCGTAAATACCTCTTAAGATTTTTTTTGCTTAGTCCATCCCACACGCCGACTACTGTAACTCCAGTATACCATGATCAACATCAGTTACTTACAAACACACCTGTAACCATCACTTTTATAATTCGCTTATAAACTTTGAATATTCTACTCGTAAATTATGAAATATATACGAATTGCTAGATATTACGAAATAAACACCGAAAAAGTCGAATGGTTTTTTGTACGGTTTTCAATATCAGATAAGAGTAATTTATGAGGGTGGTTTACTTTAAATAATTTACTAAGGTTTTGTAAACATGTTTGTAATAAATCTTTGTATAAGTTGAAGATGCTGAAAAAAAACATGACTCCAGGAAAATTTATGAATATATATGAACAATCTATTTGTTAGTGGATTGACTACCTTAAAAAGATTCATTAAACTCGCTACGATTTTTGTTTAACTTTTTATATTTCTGCACAATAACGAAATCTACTTGTTACTATATTATTATTATAAAACTTATAAATTGTATAAAATGAAGTGATGTCTGTGGTTGTATATTTATTAAAAATTACTTAGACTAAAATCAATTTAAAATCTTCCACTTCATATAATTTTTGGTTTCCACACAAATGTTTTTTTTTCAGATTCTTTTATTATTTTCGTCTAACAGATACTCATTATACTCATACTCATTAAAAAAAAACAAGGCAAGTGCTCTGCTAGGCTCACAGAAAAAGGAATATTGTTCTTTGGCTACATGTGCGCAACCAGGGTGGGTTGTCAGTCTAAATTCACAATTCAACCCAAAAGGGAAGCGCCTGATAAAAACCCACAACAACGTGTTCTTAAGTATTGCGTTTATTACATTGAAAGGTAATTATCAAATTATGATTTTAATACTTTGAGCAAATAATTAAACAGTAAAAGTAGGGTAGGGAGACCAAAAAGAAAATGGGCTGACGATATAACCGAATTAATAGGAAAAGACTGGCAAACTATCGGCAAGGACAGAGATGATTGGAAAGGAATGGAGGAGGCCTTCACCCGAGGAGGGGTCCATATCCAAATAGAAAAACTACCCTTACTAACATTTAGACAAAAAGCGAAACATGAATAACTAACTAAGCACTAACAAACAAAGACCAACATTTGAAATGGAATTTAAGGATACGGAAATACAGGCTTTTTTATATTTTTTTAATTTTATTTATTATTTTATTTATAAAATACATTTAGAACCGAAAATAGTCAATAGTATAGTATAGTAATATTTTGTTGCTTCATGAAAAAAGTATCAGACTAACTTACATCAACTAATTATTCAGAGGAAGATTGAAGAGTGATTCTTGACTTAAAAACATGCTTGAATGGTTTGAATACGAAACTGCCACTACGGACACTGCAAAAAGTATCATAAGCACGCGTAGCAATAAGCTGTCCAATCATCTATAGAAGTGAAAAGAAGAACAAAACGTAACAAGGGTACTAAAAGTAAATTTTATATCCCAATAATTTATTGGTATTCATTTGATATATAATTTATTTGACCATCGGTAAATATTACCTATGCTTAAATAAATTGTACACATGTGTAAGTTCGTTTTCGACCTTATAAAGTCAATAATTTTATTGGTTATCATGTATATGATTTTGAATAAGTACTACACTGCACGGATGGCGTAGTGGTTTAAGCGGTCGTCACGCCGCTTCCTACTGCGCTGAGTGTTGTGGGTTCGATCCCCACATTTTTTTATTGGGACTAATCCCAAACACACGCCCACCACTGTAACTCCTGTACACGAAGATCCACATCAGTGACCCACGAACACACCGAGTTATGACACTCGGGAACACTTCATTTTGTCTCCCACTTTGCTAAGGAGGGAAGTGGATTTACTGTATTTCCAACTCCTCCAATTTTCTTCTGATTAATTTCGTTGCGGGTTCCAAGACAGTTTAATTTCTTCCTGGGAGTTCCCGAGTGTCATAACTCGGTGTGTTCGTGGGTCACTGCTGTGGATCCTGGTGTACAGGAGTTACAGTGGTGGGCGTGTGGGTGGGATTAGTCCCTACTCGGGACAACCTCGACAACCAGTCCTCGACAACCGTTCGCGAACAGATGGAAAGAATTGGTAAAGATGGCACCCCTTGGATGATTCATCCCAGCGTTGTTGCCATTCGTGTATGAGGTCATTATAGACATCGGACTGCTGTTGAAGCAATCTTGTAATTTTACCGCGATCCCGCGCGCCCATAAAATCGCATTCCATGTTTTGTTGTCTTGAATAGTACATGGCTGCACGTCTCTGCACCTCGAGATCGACCGGAAGCACACCCGCCAGTACCGGCAAAGCCTCAGTGCTAACCGTCCTATATGCCTTGCACAAGAATATCAGTGCAAGTCTTTGGCCTTGTAACAGTTTGCGACGAACAGCGCCTACGGTCGCCCTATCGGTCCATACAGGTGCACCATAGCACATAGAACCTAAATAAGTAGCTCCGTATATGATCTTTAATTTATTAAATGATAGACCCCATGTCGCAGTTGATATCCTTGTCAATGCACAGAAACTCTTTTTAGACTTTTCATTAACTATTTTAATATGTTCGATAAATGAAAAGTTTCTTTCTAAAACTAATCCTAGGTAACACACTGAGGTTTTATTTTTTACAGTAACATTGTCAAATCTAATGCTTGGCGGTGATTTGAGGTTACCATTTAAAAGTAGCGGGAAGGTTTTGTTGGGTGCAAAAGTTAAGCGATTACGTTCACCCCATTGAGATTTCAAGTTCAAACATCTATTGGCAAATCTCTCAAGCCCCGCCCTAGTATCAGATTCTACCAGTAATAAGCCGTCATCAGCATACGCGTTCAGAGTACATCCGGATGGTATTGGTATCGCAAGAAAATCGTCGAAGCCGATATTCCACAAGAATGGACCTAGCACCGATCGCTGAGGACATCCCATTGTAAGCGCCTTCGACACAGAATGATGACCAAGTCTTAGTTTAGTTGTACCTTGTGAAAAGTACGAAGAGATAACTGAATAAATGTTTTTAAAGCACCCTCGTGATTTTAATTTCAGCAACAGCATGCGTTGTCGAAGGCGCCAGATATATCTAAGAAAATAGCCAGCACGTATTGAAAGTTTGACCCTGTGACAAATTTTCTAACCGATGTAACAGAGTCAGTTGTCGATTTACCCTACGTAAATCCAAATTGTCTATTATGAAATTTGACTCCACCTGGCAGAAGCCGGGGCACTACAAGACGTTCTAAAAGCTTTCCTAACGATGGTAACAATGTTATTGGTCGATAGGATTTAGGATCATCCGGAGGCTTGTCGCCACTTTTTGGTATTATACGAATATTACCGCACCGCCATATACGAGGAAATATTCCTTCAGCATTGCAACGTTTAAAGACAGTGAAAATCGTGTCACCCGAAAGTTTACAAGCTTCTTTTATCATTTTGTTAGATATATTATATATATATATATGCCTTTAACTTTCTACGAGCTTTCCGGTAGCTTCTACGTGGTTCGGCTAATCTATCATTCCACCAATCACATCTACAAGTGTTAGTGATAGATCCGCGACCAAAAGATAAAAGATACATCAGCGCAGTATGTGAAAGTTTCTGATAGTATTTCTGCTCTTTCCTCAGCTGATAAAATACTGCGACTGAAGTCTTTGGTATGAGTTGCAAAGAGTGAACCAAACAAAGCCTAGTTCGCACCTTTAGTTTTATATCTAAAATTATAGGGAGCCCTTTGTGGATCTTGTGCAACCCTTGTTATGAATTCGTACACGATCAAGCGGTGATCATTACAGAATACGTCCGGAAGGATACGCCATCCGGATATCGAGACGTCGCCGCGCGTAAGCGTCACGTCAATAGAAGACTCACCCATTGGGTTGTAAAAAGTTGGTAGTGCATCGGGGGTATTGTGAATAGTAAGATTCATTTCCGCAATGAAATCTTCAACCGCACAACGTCGAACCGTGTCGATCGAACGCAACTTGCCATACCATAATGAAGATGACGCATTGACATCAGCGCCAATTATAATTTTATGTCCTACGAGGAACTGCAAGACGTAACGTAAGTGATGTAAGTGAGGATCAATAGGATGTGAATATTGAAAATAGCAGCTCACTACGTAAACCTTACAGGTAGAGGATGAGATCTCAGCAACGGCGCAGTGTCACGTCATAAGATTACGCAAAGATGTTACCGTAAAATTAGAACTTGCAACATATATCCCAGCCTGCGAACGATAGTCAAGCAGTACTACATTACGACGCAAGCGAGCGCTCTGATATTGTTCTTGTATAAGGACAATGTCTAACTTTGTTCTAAAATTAAACGGTCTAATTCTGATGTAGCTATTTTATCGTTATGAAGATTTACCTGGCCTATTGAAATATTATCCATTACTTAGTAAGTTACTCTATAAACTTTTTTTTTTTTTAATTAAACTATTCAGTAATTGGTATTTAATATTAGCTGTTCCAGTTTTAATTTGTATGTGGCACAGTCGTGTGAGCCGCATCGATGGTCAGATGGTTTTTTGAACCGCTTGCACTGTGCGCACATGGGCTTAAAATCTGGTGTGTCTTTATCTGGACAAGCTCGTGTTTCATGTGCGGCGGCGCAATTAGCACAAGT